TGCCATGCCTGCCTGCTGCCATGCTCCCTACCATGATGATCATGGACGAGTCCTCTGTAAGCAAGCCTCCATTTACATGTTTTCTTCTACACGTTCCCTTGGTGATGGTGTCTTCACAGTAATAGAACAGTAACTAAGACATCGTCTGTGCTGCGATCACAAGGCACACTCATGCCTGGCTTCTTATTTGGATGCTGGAGCATCGTACTTTCATGTCAAATACTTTTCTGACTGAGATATCTCCCAGCCCTTTAGATATAGGGTAAGGATGGAGCAGGTTCAATGAATCTAAGTGTCCCAGTAATGACACTGCTTTAAACAGACCCACCTGGCCAACCTTTTTGAGTGACACCTTCACAGATTCAGCCTACCTCCTCCAGGAGTGTGGTATACAGTGTTTAGGAATGTTTTGGTCTGTCACACAGACACTCCACATGTCCTCTCTACTGATATTCTTCATAGACTCCAAATACCATCAGCTGTTAGCTAAATAAAATTTAAGGAGGCTTTTTTTTTTTTAGATTAAAAAAATAATGTTTATATGTGTGAGTGTTCTGCCTGCATGTATGTCTGAGCATGGTGGGCATGTAGTTTCGGTGGAGGCCAGAAGATGGCATCAGATCCTCTGGGACTGGAGTTACAGCTGTTTGAGCTGACAAATGGGCATTGGGAATTGAACCAGGGTCCTCTGGAAGAGCAGCCAGTGCTTTTAATCTCTGAGCCATCTCTCCAGCTCCTCAGAATGGAAAAAAACTCCACAAATGATTCAAAAAGACAAGAATACTGGGGCTTTGGAGATTCTTTTCCAGAATTACAAGTGTGGAACAGAGTCTGGAGAGTGGTTGGGGATTTAGCTCAGTGGTAGAGTGCTTGATTAGCAAGCACAAGGCCCTGGGTTCAGTCCTCAGCTCTGGAAAAACAAAAACAGAGTCTTCATTCCCCCTCATTTCTCTGTCTCTCTCTGCAGGGTCTCATGTAGCTCAGGCTATCCCTGAATGTTCTATGTACTGGAGGCTGAGTATTTAAATGTGAAAGGAGAGAAGAAAGTAAGCTAGCTGTTTGGGAGGAATTTCCTGCCCCATAGACTCAAAACTGTGCCTGAATGTTAGCATCCTGACTGTATCTAAACAGTGTTTCTCATGATCCTGCTTTTCCCAGAGTCCCACTATGAACACTGGTCAAGAAGCAACCTGGCTGCTGTGGGGAAAGAGGTCTGCACCTGCATCCTTTTATTTCTGACCTGTACATAGCTCTGTCTGTGTGAGACCATGGTCTCTCTTGCCTGTCCATGCTGAATAGTTGTCTCTTCTCTCAGCATGCCTCTGGCCCTCCAGTGCACACATGTATCCACCACACCATCAAATCCTCTTTGGAAGCTCTGTGAATTGACCAGCATCAAAGATACTAGGTACTGATTAAGACTAGAGGATGCTACAGATGGCCAAGGGATGTTCAGAGAAATGAAACCACTGCCTCCCAAATGCTGGTTCAGGAACCGATCCAGTCCTTGCGTTTTTACTGGTCCTTGGTAAAACTGGAGAACTGACGATGTGAAAAGTTTGGCACGACTCTGGTTTTTTGAGACGGGGTTTCTCTGTGTAGTTCTGACTGTCCTGGAACTCACTCTGTAGACCAGGCTAGCCTCGAACTCACAGAAATCCATCTGCCTCTGCCTCCTGAGTGCTGGGATTAAAGGAGTGCACCACCACGCCCAGCTTAAAGTTATCCATTTTTTTAAATTGTGAGATTATACCTATTCTATGTATATGGAATATCAAAATGCCCTTTCTTTTATAAAATGATACTGAGAGAAGCTGGGGTTTGAAACTGGGTATTTTGGATGCTTTCCTTGATTCACATTACACTAGTATTTTTTTTTACACTAGTATTTTTTAAATGATCATAAAAAACTGTAATTTTATATTCAAGTTTATGTATCAATTATGTATTTATTAAGCACTGGGATCTTTCTCCAGCCCCTACCTCTATAGGAACTTTGAACTCTTGGCCTCAAGTCACCCTTCTGCCTCAGCCTCTCAAGTAGCTAGGCTTGCAGAAATGTACCACCAAGCTTGGAAAAAGCGATTATTATTTATAAATATTTGAAAGTATACCAGGTGTAGTAGCTCACAGCTGTAATTCCAGCATTCAGGAGATGGAGACAGGAGAGCCACTGCAAATTTAAAGCAAGGTCAGCCTGGGTTACTAAGTGAGTACCAGGCCAGCCAGAGCTACAAATAAATTCAAAATTGAACAAATAAAAGAATTGAAAGTTTAAAAATATCTCACACATGTACATACATACATACATACATACATACATACATACATGGCTAACTCTTTATGTTATGTTACATGGGACTAGAAAGCCAAATCCTCATATGGACAGGTGATAATAATTTATTGACGTGGACTGGAAAGAGTTGCTGTTTCTGACCCAGCCCTGCTTACAGGGGGAAATCTAGTCCCAAATTCTAGCACAGCATTTAAGGTACCATGTCTCCCCCTGCTGGAAATGGTGTTGGTAAACTAAGTCTTGCGCCTCCAGCAGTACTGGGGAGGATTCGAACTGCTAAGACCTGAAAGCCAGAAGAATTATGCTTCAAAATCTACTCTTCATTGCAGGGACCTTGGCTGTGGGGGACCTGCCCCCACTTTTCCCTGGGTACTCTTAAGGAGAGAAGGATAAGAAATATTAGGTAGAATGATAGACAGAGACTAGAAGAAAGACAGAACCACAGGGCAGTTTCGGGAGGACCTGGATCAAAATCCAAGGGCTTTTTATAACAATGACAAGAGGCGAGGCAAAAGTCCTTCCCCTTGCTAGATACAGTCAAGTGCAGACCCTTCCAAACACCTGGTAACCACGCCCGTGGTCAATCATCCCCTTATGCAACCCTGCAGGGTAAAGCAAGCTCAGAGTCTCGGACCTGAGTAATTCTGGCCTCCACACTAGCCCAACCAAGAATCTTAGAACACTGACTTAAGGCCCCAGGCCCCAGGCAACATCCATCCAGGGGCCAATTTACAACCCTGGGAAATCAATAAAGGAAGAAAAAAAAATTAATGATTTGGCTAGCTAACAATATCATCTACTTTCATGGACTCCATATAGAATCACAGGGTAAAATAATCATAAATCCATATCCATAAATACCACTGATTTTATTTTGAAATTCAAGTAGTTAATACAGAATGGCTGTCTGCTAATATGCAAGAGGAATCCGACTTTCTCCCCCCCCACACCCCACCCCCCTTTTTGGGTTTTCAAGACAGGGTTTCTCTGTGTAGCTTTGTGCCTTTCCTGGAACTCAGTTTGGAGACTGGGCTGGCCTCAAACTCACAGACATCCACCTGCCTCTGCCTCCCGAGTGCTGGGATTAAAGGTGTGCGCCACCACTGCCCAGCTCTTTCCCATTTTGAGGTCCAAGACAAAGTCATTCCTCGTGGTTCTGCACACTTTATTCTTTTCTGCCTGTATGCATTATCCCACCTCCATTACTGTACATCGACTTTTATCTGTGCTTAAGGCTTTACCTGGTTTCTTCCTCTTTCAACAATGACTCAAGCTGAGTTATTTTTCTTCCTTTGCTTTTATCGATTTGCTCACTTTTTTTTTTTTTTTTTTTTTGGCACTTAACATTCTCTCATGTTGGTTATTGGACCATTTTCGATTTCATGTGTTTGATCTTTAAGGTGTTTAAAGGCAAAGATCGTTTTAGTTAGGGGAAGTATGTCTTCCCTGTTAAGCTCAGGCTTACAGGGCACACACTTCAGTTCCCTGGTTTATCAACGAAGGATAACAGCACAAACGCCATACAATTGTTGAGGCGTCCTGAGAAAATGCAAGTAAAGCTCCGGCTCTTAATGATTTGATAATGGTTAACCATTGTTTTCGTTTCCTCCATTTCCCAAACAACAGCCTTAGGTGTAGACATTCAACTATTACTTGTTGGGAGGGCTTATGCTAATAAGCACACTCATACTCACTAATACATTAGCATTATCTGTGTCTGGATAAATAATGTGATTAACTATGAACTTTAAGCTGCTTGGATTACCAATGCAGAACGATTCGCCATCTAAGAGATCCGCAAGGTCCAATTTAACTATCGGCAGTGCCAAGAACATGAGATAATCTTCGCTGTCCAATAAAGCAGCCATTAGCTGCATGTGGTCCCTGAGCTCTTCTTGTCACGCCGCTAATGCGGCTGAGACCGTAATAGCCTCCTTTTATTTAATTTTAACAGCACTTCCTGGAGCACCGGGCTGGACAAAACGAGGGCAGCTCCAGAACCAGCTTCCAACTCGCAACTTTTTAGTTGGGAAGCACTCCTCTTCGGGATCATCCTCATTTTGTGCTCCCAGGTCATTTCCCAGGGCCAGGCATGGGACGTCGTCTACAAAGGCTGACATCTCCCACTCACTGCCCGGGGGCAAAGCGAGCCCCAAAACAGGACACGGCACGCAATCACCCCACTGCAAGACTCATTGCGTCTGGCCCTCGTGCGCGGACTGGAGGGTTGACGGGGAAGCGACCCAGGCGACGGCGGGCGTGGCGAAAACGTGAGCGAGCCGCGCGAGTCCTCCCACGCGGGGCGCCGCGGCCACCGCAGGCCCGGCGCGTCCAGTTCCGGTCCCCACCGCTAACCCCGAGAGCAGCTTCCCCTCTCGCCAGGGGGGCTGCCAGCCACTGACCCCGGCCTGCAAACACCCAATCCCACAGGGCTCGCTCTCCTCCATCACACAATGGCTCCGGGAGCCGGGCAAGATGGCGGCGGCCGGCGCCGACCATAGAGAGGCCCTCCGCGGTGGCGAGAGCGGCGACCGCAGGTCTTCCGGCATTCGAGAGCGGAAGCCGGGGGAGGGACGGGCTGGGGGTGGGGGTGGGGGTGGGGGCGGGCCTTCCAAGCGCCGCGCGCAGTCTCCGTGGCGCTGGCTCCGCGGAGCCGGGGACCACGTGACCGGCGGCGGCGGCGGCGGCGGAGGCGAGGGGGAGGAGCGAGGGGGGGGGGGTGGATAGCGCGGAGGAGACCCGGCGGATACCAGGTTGTCATGGAGTCGTGGGGCCCGGCTCGCGCATGCGCCCGCTGACCGGCCGGGCTGGTGGTTTGGAGCGGCGACCCTGGCCCTAGGTGAGCGAGGCAGGGCTCGCTTGGCTCCGGGCATTGGGGGCCGGGGCGGGGAAGGAACCGGGATGGCGACCCTGGGAGGTTGGGACTGGGATCCCCGAGAAGGCAGGTGGGAGCAGGTGGAGGAGGAAGGAGAATAAAGTGGGCACAAAGGGGAAGCCGGACTTGGGGCGAGCGGGGGTCGCCAAGTCATCGGGAGCCGAGGGACTCGCCATCCCCGGCTTCTGGTTGGTTGGTTGGTTTGCTTCCAGGGGTCGGGCCCGCGTGGGAAAGGGAATCCGGGGTGAGAGGCAGAGACGGCGTGTAGGGAGGGGGCCTTGTGTCAGGGGCAAGTGGTGTGGAGTCCCCGAGGGCACGTGTGCCCTGGCCTGGCCCTGGGTACCATGGCTCCTGCGGGGGGAGAGCCTGAAGGCCTGCCGGGCTGGACTGGTTGGTTGGTGGGCATGAGGGCTGCTGACCGAGTGAGTGAGTGAGTGCAGGTGAGTGTCCAGCACCTTCATTTAGCAGCTGTGCCCTGACACAGGTGCACCGTCTATTCCAGGGGCCCGCGGCCCCCTACTTTAGGCCAGCTAGCCAGGCGTAGTGCCACGGATAGGGATGCGAGGAAGAAGGTGGATAGTGCCAAGTAAGAAGTCAATGGTTAGTGGCTGGGTAGGGCAGTTTTGATCTGGACCCAGGCCCCAGGCCCGAGCCAAGCTCTTCTGTTTATTGCCCAAGTTCTGGCAGTAGGCATTGCCTGGGCATTTGCCCTGGAGACTGGTGGTATGCCAGTCACAGCATAGTCCTGTGGTCTGCCCAATTCTGCCCCGTTGAGTTGGCAGGGCTAGTTGATGCCTGGAGGGTGTGCATGCTGCCGCCTGGCGCAGATGTCATGTGGGCTGGTGCGAATGGGTAGGTGGGCACTGTTACTGTGAGCCCCCTTTCAAAGTGATCTGAGAACGTGCTCTGATCACATGCCCCCCTTTAAAGGATGGAGAGAGCCATGGGAAACCATGTGACCGTGCGGAACAGGGCAGGATCTTGGACACGACCTTTTCAGCCAGTTTTGAGAATGGGAAGGAGTTTGAAGGAGAATATGAATAATAGACACTTAGGCAGGTGCAGTTTTTCCACTACTACAATACACATTCTCCTGGAATGGTATTTCTGAACATGCAGATCAGAAGAAACCGGCTGCAGAGAAAACGTACTAATACGTTACTCATGGTTTTATGGCTGATAAAGGCTTTACTTTCTATGACCTTATCACTTTATTCCATATGAGCCTTGGCTTGGGCTTTCACCTCACACCTCTGCGCACGCATGTCGTACACGTGACACATTTAAAGGGAACGTGAGCTCTCAGGAATGTCGCCAAGTAGCTATAAAAGGAGAGCACTAAAAGCTGCATTTCAGATCCTTTCCCTGTAACCCTTTGGTCGCCAGAGATAGTGGGGTCACACCAGCTTTTAATTTGGTATATTTGTCCTATCTTAGAATAATGGGTATATTGGACTAGACCTGAAAGTTAGGTCTTGAGGTGATCACGTGTTTGGAAATGCAGCCTTGACCGTCAAAATACCTGAACTCGGGTATTTTGGTGCCTGCTAAACTGCTTTGGCTTTCAGAGACTGCCAGACTGAGATTTGTTAGAGTTTAGTATTCTCTTGAATGCCTGACAAGTCTGTTGCAAAGATTGAAAACAAAATAAAAACAGAACCAGCAACTGTGAGCTTCTAGAGATGAATAATGACCCGAATGTAAGGAGTGAAAAATGGAAGAAGGCACCAGGTGCCGCGGAGTACTTCCGAGAGTGTCTTCTTGTACCAGTTTATATGAGCCTCTGTGTTGACTCACTTCCCGTTTTGAATTTTACTGTAGACTGCCCTCTTTGACAAACTTTTGGATAGTGTGTTACCCGTACATTCATATGAGGCCCAATTAGGGCCGCTGGTTCTGCCTGTTTGGGAGTGTTCGTTAAGTCCTCGTGCAGAATGAGTGAAATGCAGGGTAATCTGAGATGTGTAGGAAGTGGTAGTAGTGGCCTCGGGGGGCCGAGAGATGAGGTAGCAGGTAAAGACCGTGTAACCCATTTTCAGATGCTTGTATCTGACTTTATTAAAATAATACCGAGGAGGGAAAGGAAAACCCTCCCAATTTCTTGAGTTTTTAGGTTTTGCTATTTGTGTGGTTATTGGCTTAAGGGGTGCTAGTGGGAAATCCCCCCCCCCTTTCTGCCTAGGGTTTCCTCTGGTGTGGTGTGTGTGTGTGTGTGTGTGTGTGTGTGTGTGTGTGTGTGTGTGAGCCCACTTCCTCCCAAAGAAGAGAGGTGGGTGTAGCTCTTATGCACCTTCCTACATGGGCCTCCTCGGCTGGAACGTTAAGGCTTTTTTCCTGTTTAAACAGAACTTTATCAAGAAGAGAGGCTTTCATATTTTTAATTATTTTTGCATCCAAAGCAGACACTTTGCCATTCTAAAGTCAATTGTAAGGGTTTTGTTGTTATTTTTATTCCCAATTGCCACCAATTCCCCAGGATCTCAAATTTTAGAATTTAACAGATTTGCCAAAGTTTTAGTATTTTGGTTCTGTAGTCAACATTATCCTTTAAATTCTCTGTGAACCAGAGTAAATTCCTGCATGTTTTTCTGTAGCTCCCCTGACTTCGGTTTTAGTAACAGTACTCACATTTTGATAACTTAGCAACGTTACTAACCTTTCTTTCTTTCTTTTTTTTTTTCTCTTCGAGACAAGGTTTCTCTGTATAGTTTTAGTGCCTGTCCGGGATCTCGCTCTGTAGACCAGGCTGGCCTCGAACTCGCAGAGATCTGCCTGCCTCTGCCTCCCAAGTGCTAGGATTAAAGGAGTGTGCCACCACTGCCTGGCAGTACTAACATTTGGATAACTCTTCATTGTCTTGTCCAAGGATCATAGAAGGCTAAGTTGGGATGCTTTCTCAGAAATGCCTGTAAAATACTCTATGTTTAGTAAGATATTGCACGGTGAAGTTTTCTCAGATTCTTAATTAGTTGCAATTGACATGCCCTTCTAATCTGGATCAACAGCCTGGTCAGACCTGCCTTAGTCTGAATGCCATCCAGAAGCCACATCTAGTTTCATTTTAAAGAAGGCTCTGTTTACTTTGGAACAGTATTATTTTAGGAAAATTGTGCTCTATGCATTTGTTGGGTTTCATAGGCTCCTGCTTTAATTAGGGATACAGTTTTACGTTTTAGTCTACTTTTTAAATGGGATTGTCCAGGCTATCAAGCATCGTAGCTGTCAGACAGAGAGACGTTGCCTTTGCAGAGTGCTCTGTTACATGTGACAGTGTTGTTCTTATCATTGTGTGTGGAGGGAGAGTGATGCGACCTGAGCTGGGTGGGGCTGACAAACCTTCCTAAATGAGTTGTATGTGGGGCATGATGACTTCTCCTTGGAATGGCGTTGAGTGTTTACTCCCATCCGATCAGTGTGTGTCCTTAGCTCACTGCAGTTGTCTAGAACAGTGGTCTCAGCTGTCCCAGTGCTGGGACCTGTTAACACAGTTCCTCATGCTGTGGTGACCTCCAACCCTAGAGTTATTTTCATTGCTACTTCATAACTGTAAGTTTGCTGCTGTTATGAATCGCCACGTAAATATCTGATACACAGGGTATCTGATATGCAAACCTGTGAAGGGGCCATTTGACCCCCAAAGGGGTCACGACTCACATGTTGAGAACCACTGGTCTGTACATATGTAAGCAAGGGGTACTCCAGAGTGCACGGAAGCATGCGTCTCATTTCACCATGAGTCTTCCCTCTAGTTCACTAGGTCCTGAACTAGCAGAAATGTTCAGGGATAGCACTTCAGGCTCTTCCAGGGACAGTGCTGCTTGGCCCAAGTGCATGGAGTCCTGAGTGGATTGTGGATTAAAGCATCTCTGGATTTGCTTATGCCTACCCAGTTTCATGATGACTGTTTTCCTTGGTGGCACCCTGTTTTCTTTATCCCCGAAGTGTCTCTTGTTTTTGTTGTTCAAAGACAGGATCTGGCTAGGTAGCCCCGGCTGGCCTAAAACTCACTCTATAGACCAAGAGGTTCGCCCTGACTTTGCCTCCTGAATTCTGGAGTGGGCCACCACTGCTGCTGCGCCTTAGTTAACATCCAGTCTGTCCAGCATGTGCGGTTGCAGGGCCTCTGTCCTGGGTGTCTGCTCTCCCCTCCCCTCCCCCACCCCCATTGTCAGTACATGGTCTTCTGCTCCTGGGCTCTGCTCTGGCCAGCCGGGCCGGGCCATTTACTTCTGAGTGTGCCAAGTTCTTTCTCCCTTCAGCCTTCTCATTGGCCTGGAACACACCGCAACAGCTCACCTGTAGTCTTTGACCCCACTAATGCCTGCTGACTCCTCAGCCTCCAGATTCCAGCTCAGGGCACTTTTCCTGGTGCTACAGACCATAGCCTCACTTTTCATAGCTCCTGTCAACGTGATCGTCACCTGTATGAATCCTTGGTTAATGTCTCTTCCTCTCTAGATCACAAGCTGCAGGAAGGATACCAACACAGTTATGCTAGTCACTCTGTATCCTCAGTCTAGCACAATGCCCAGTTTATAGGAGCACTCGATACATGTTTTTTATGTATACATGTGACTGAATGTAATGCATCTGAGCTTCACTGCAAAATGGATTACAACTGAGGAGGGTATTGTGACACTCAAGAATAACATTAACAGCAATATATCCTTATGCAATATAAGCTCTTACACTTTTAAAATTTATTATGTATATGAGTGTTTTGTTTGCATGTATGTCTGTATACATACCACTTGTGTGCCTAGTGCCCACAGGGCATTGGATCCTCTGGGACTAGAGTTGTGAACCACCATGTGGGTGCTGGGAATCGAAATCCTAACTGCTGAGCCATCTTTCCAGCCCACCCCCCATAAACACTTCTTAAATATGTTTATACATAAAAGTTTTTGCTCTTTTGTTGTGATCAAACTTATACTAAGTAAGCATTCCACCACTGACCTATACCTTCAGGACTGTAAAAGTTTTGTGGTTTAAAAAAAATTATTTAACTTTTATTTTATGTGCATTGGTGTGCAGGTGTCAGATCCTCTGGAACTAGAGTTACAGAGAGTTGTGAACAGCTATGTGGGTCCTCTGGAAGAGCAGCCAGTGCTTTTAACTGCTGAGCCATCTCTCTAGGCGCGCACCGCGGGGGGGCCCCCCCCCCCGTGTGTGTGTGTGTGTGTGTGTGTGTGTGTGTTTGTATTGTTTTATGTTAAAAAGTAGCATATAGGGCCAGTGAGGTACTTCAGCAGGTAAAGGTGCTTGCCGCCTGACAACCTGAGTTTGAGGACCCACAAAGTGGAGGCCGAACCAATTCCTGCAAGCTGTCCTTTGACCTCCACACATGCATCATGGCACATGTGTGTTCATGCCGATGTATACATGTACACAAAAGTACCTAGAATAAATGTAAAGAAGTCTTTTGAAGTAGTATACGTATGTGTGTATGCATGCATGTATGACGTTGGTTGTACTTCACTCTGAGAACTGAGCACTTCACTCTGAGAACTCAGCACTTCACTCTGAGAACTGAGAGGTTTGTTTGAGAAACCCTGGACTGTGTGTGTATGTGTGTGTGTGTGTGTGTGTGTGTGTGTGTGTGTGTGTGTGTGTGTGTTGGCAGTAGATCACCATCCTGCAGACCTCTGCTGGGAAGCTCGCCTCACAGGGTGCTGTTACCTCTCTTCTCCTCAGGGAGGAGGGCAAGTTTATTTGGTTACCAAAAAGCCTAATCAAATGTCCCTTTGTTGGCAGTTCACAAAGCTTCCACTGAACATGGTTTGTGGGCCTTGACTTCGCGATGGACTTAGAGGGCAGAGGGGGGTGGGGAGCCTCCTTTGGATGGAAACCGTTCTGTGTAGTAAACCTGAAGCTTGGTCAGCTGAGACTATGGAGACGGGGTGGCTGAAGTGGGTGAGGCTGGCAGTCCTTGCCCTCACTTTCTTCACTGTTTGGCTCGCCTGGTTCACGCTCCAGGTGATGACTTCTTACATCCTTGTTGTTTTTCATAGAGCAGTCCACATGCAAAGACTGTCTGTGACCCAGCTTCCAGCCCGCTGAAACATGGAGAGGAAAATGCCGTCCCGAGAGAGCCCTCGAAGACTCTCTGCCAAGCCAGGCCGAGGCCCAGAGAATAAAAGAGTCACTCGGCCGCTCGGTGTGGTGGCTGCCGACTCAGACAAGGACTCCGGCTTTTCAGGTTAACAATATCTTACTCTTCTGCCTTCTGCTCCATAATACGCATGGAAACATTCCTCCCTGAAGCTCATTAGTGTAAGAAACACAAGAAGCTTTCACATACAGGATAAATAACTATCTGAGCTCTTAAAAATAGCAATTCTGAAACCAAGGGGTGGTGGTTGGTGATTCTGGTATCTTATGGCACCATAGGTTAGTTCTTAAAAAGTAATTTTCCTTTTCAATTTAGACTTTAAACTCTCAATCTTCCATTTCAAACTGTAGTTACTAGAAAAAATATTTGAACATGGACTGGAAATATAGTTCAATTGTGGACTGCTTGCCTCGTATGCAGGAAGCCGTGGGTTGGATCCCCAGTACTCATAAAACTGGGTGGGCTGGGACATGGCCATAATCCCAGCACTGGAAGGTAGAAACAGGAGGGTCAGAAGTTCAAGGTCATCCTTAGCTACACAGAGTTCAAGGCCAATCTGAATTACAAGAGATCCTGTCTCAAAGACAAGTGTTTTTAAAAATACTCAGGATTCTGTTGCATTAACTCCCTTTTCATGGCAGGGAAAAAGAAAAATACTACTGTATCTTGTTGCCATGAAACAGTGTGAAAGTCAGTTAAAAGTAATTCTTGTATTATGTAATGAGAAATTGGTCCTTAAGGAACACTAGGGTGTACTTTCATAAACCTAGATGATATAGCCTATTATATACTTAGGCTCTATGATATAGTCATACCTCAAATGTGGTCTGTCATTGGCTGAACCATCTTTATGTGGTAAGTGACTGTCATTTGTTAAGATAACACTTGCCTAGAAAGTAATTTTGCTATACTTAAAAAAGTCCCCTCCTAACCGTTTTTTTCCTAATAACTGAACACTTTGTGTTTGGACTGTGAGCCACCCGGGCCAACCGTAAACTCCACTAGACATGAGAAAGTAGAACAGGAGGCCGGAGGGATGGCTCAGCAGTAAAGAGCACTGGCTGCTTCTGCAGAGGGCATGAGTTCGGTGTCCACCATCCACATCAGGTGGTGCACAGCCACTTGGAGGGGATCTGATACCCTCTTGTGGTTTCTGAGGGCACTTGCGTGTACATGTGCATGTATATACAGACAGACAAACAGGCACACACATACACATAAAAGAAGATAAACAAATCCTTGAGCATGTATGGTAGATATGCTTTTAATCCCAGGACTTGTGAGGCAGAGACAGGTGGATCTCTGTGAGTTTGAAGCCAGTATGATCTACAGATAGAGTTCCAATCCAGTTAGGGTTACATGAGGAGGCCCTATCTCAAAAAATAAAAATCAAACAAACACCCTCCCCCCCCCAAACCAAATCTTTTATTTATTATCATCATCATCATTGTCATCATCATCATTATTATTTGAGACAGGTCTGTCTATGTAGCCCTGGCTGTCGGAACTTACTATATATACCAGACTGCCTTCGAACTCACAGTGATCCTCCTGCTTCCACCTCCCAAGTGCCAAGTTAAAGGCATCCACCACCACACGTGGGCTCAAAAACCAATCTTTAAAAAAAAAATTTAAAAAGCTGAAGAGATGGCTCAGTGGTTAGGAGCTCTGGCTGCTCTTCCAGAGGACCGGGGTTCAATTCCCAGCACCCACATGGCAGCTCACAACTGTCTGTAACTCTAGTTTTAGGGTACCCAATACCCTCACACAGACATACATACAGGCAAAACACCAGTGCACACAAAATAAAAATAAATAAGTTATTAAAAAGTAGGAAGACTGATAGTGGAGCAGCTTTCATGATAGCTGTCCAGAGCCTTCCCCAGAAGGGCCGACTGCACCCTCACCTCAGCCTCTTAACTTCGCACTGAAGCTCTTATGTCTAGGGCTGAGTGGAGTGGCTTGAACTACGCTAAATATTGAATTAATGTCAACATGAATGTCCCAGGAGATTCTCAGGATGATGCCAGGGAGTCGGGCTTACTATCCTGGGAATGGAGCTTTTTCTAGGGAAAGATTTATAGGTATTACCCAGGCTCCAGAGACAACCCAGGCCTGTTACTGATTTACTCACTTATACTGGGAAACGCTACTGTTAGGAAATCTAGGACTCTCCCTCCCCGTCTTAGATTGGTACGTTTTCATCTCGTAGGCCCGCTGAATGAGAAGCTCAATTATAAATAGAGCATTACTCAGAGAGGGCCAGCACTGACCCCGGGGATTAGAGCAGAGGCATTAGGGTCTGCCCAGGACCAGGACAGTCCAGGGAAGGGTGAGCCAGCCTCTAGCACTTTGGGATCCCTTCACTTAATGAATTTGCTTACCAGACTTGTCTCACCCTGAAGCCCCCCTGAAACATCTATTAAAGATTTAGATTCCTAGGCCCTCTTAGAGATTCTGGTACTGAGGCTGGGGAAGGGTCTGGAAAGTGGGGCCTATAAAACAAGGCCAAAGGTCTGGAAACCACCTAAGGGCTTTTTTCTCTTTGAATATCACATTTGCTTTTGATCTGTTTCTGGATCATAAAGGTAATGCGTGCTCATAGTAAAAGTTTAGAGACTTGCGGGAGTCACCGAAGAAAACACACTTTACCCACAGTCCTTCTGTTTAGAATTCCCAGGACCACTGCCATTTAGCTCCATCTTCTGAAGTCTTTGTCAGGCTAGTTGTTTTGATAAGTGCCACACTGTTCGGACACAGAGTGATATTAGAAATGACCACCCTCAATCCTCTTTCCGGAGGTGGTCCCAGTGAATGCTGGTCACTTTTGGGGTTAGGTTCCAGGGATGTGGTCCTGCCTGAATTATTGCAGTTACCTTGGATGTAATGAAAGTCTTACTTGATCTTAGCCAAAAGGCTGCCTGAGAAGGACTTTAGTAAAATTTGCAAAACCAAAATGGATAATATTTTCTATGTTAATTATTTTTCCAAATTTATTTTGAGAAATTTCAAACCTAAAGAAAAATGAATATCCCCGCCCCGCAGGAAAGATACTTTCTTTCAGGTCCACTAGGAATTTTCATTTTGGCTTTATTCATATCCTTTCCTATATACATTGGCTTAACTGTTTGAAAAGTTTCAAAAATTTCAAACAACTAGCATTTTATCTCTAAATCTTTAGTATGAATCTCAGAAACAAGGGCATTCTCCTATATAATTATAATGCCATTATTATACCCAAGAAAGTCAACCTGATTGAATTCTCTCTAACTACAGTCTGTTTGGATTTTTCCTATTGTCCCAGTAATGTCCTTATAGCTATTTGCCATTGGATCCAGGATCCCACTGAGAAGCATGCATTGTATGTAGATGGCCTGCCTTCTTAATGTTATTTAATCCAGGATAGCTTTCCTATCTTTTCTTTCCTTTATGACACTGACATCTTTGAACAGCAGGACTGTAGTTTTATAGCTTCCCGTTTTGGGAATCATTGGAACACTGCATTGTTGATGTTGTGTATTTCTCCAAACACAAGGAAACTGTTAAGTTAGTCTCATTTTTTTTTTTTGAAAGATATGTTTATTTGCGTGTATGTGTCTCTTCATGAGTTTGTGCACTACTTGCATGCAGGTGCCTGTGGGGCTAGCAGAGGGCATCAGATCCCCTGGAACTGGAGTTACGGGAGGTTGTTAGTCACCTCAAGTGGGGACTGGGAACTGAACCTGGGTCCTCTGTAAGTGCTCTTAACTGCTGAGCCATCTCTCCAGCCCCCGTTTTCATTTTTGATGATACTCTGATCCCTTGGTTAAAAGGTACTGTGTACCAGATTTTTTTATTGTAAAGATAATCTTTTAATCGGGCCTGGTGGCACGTGTCTAGAATCCTAGGTTCTGGGGAGGCCGAGGCAGGTGAATGACAAGGTCAATTGCCTGGGTTACAGAGTGAGTTTTTGGCTTGTGTGGGTAACTTAGCCTCCAAGTGCTGGGATTATAGGCAGGTACCACTATACCGTCTTCCTTCCTGCAAACTCTTTTTTTTTTAAAGATTTATTCATTCATTCATTCATTCATATGGGTACTTTGTCAGCATATACATCTGCACACCAGAAGAGGGTGTCAGACAGTTGTGAGTTGCCATGTGGGTGCTGGGAATTGAACTCAGGACCTTTGGAACAGCCGAGAGTGCTCATAACCACTGAGCCATCTCCCCAGCCCCCTCCTGCAAACTCTTGACTAGTGTTTTAGCATCTCACTTGAACTGGTTACCACCCTAGCGATTTAAAAGTTGTGATCTACTAATGCTGTCATTTTGCCCAGTCACTGAACCTCTTGGTTAAGAAGCATTTTCCTTTTTTTTTTTTTTAAAGATTTATTTATTTATTATGTATACAGCATATGTGACTGTAGGCCGGAAGAGGGCACCAGACCTCATTACAGATGGTTGTGAGCCACCATGTGGTTGCTGGGAATTGAACTCAGGGCCTCTGGAAGAGCAGTTAGTGCTCTTAACCTCTGAGCCATATCTCCAGTCCCACATTTTCCTTCTTCTGGTCCCTTTTTGAGTATCACCCTGGATTTGTATAATTCTTTAGTAATTCAGTTTGCTGGTCCATTAACCGCATATTTCTGTTCCCTGCATTGTCTCAAATTTGGCCAGTGAGTTAAATGTGCCCTTGTCCCACTGACACCTGTAGCACGAATCTTAGAAGGTCTTATTACTAAAAACAAACCCACTGGGCGGTGGTACACACACCTTTAATCCCAGCACTTGGGAGGCAGAGGCAGGAGGATCTCTGTGAGTTCGAGACCAGCCTGGTACAGATCGAGATCCAGGAAAGGCACCAAAACTACACAGAGAAACCCTGTCTCAAAAAAAGCAAAAAACAAACAAACAAAAAAACAAAACAACAACAAAAAAAAACCAAACAAACCTGGAGCCAGGTATTGGGGTGAATGCTGAAAGATCAAGAGAAACAGAACAGGCCACAGCTAACCTCACCTTGCCAACTTCTCAGCCGATCCTGTTTCCTCAAACTGGAACCTGTGTCCTCATCTGAATGGATCTCAGCTGAACTGCTACTAAAAGCCTAAAAGCTTAACCAGTTCTAGTTCCTGGTTTTCATGCCGTATATACCATTCTGCTTCCTGCCATCACTTCCTGAGATTAAAGGTGTGCGTCACCATGCCTGGCTCTTTCCAATGTGGCATTGAACTCACAGAGATCCACATAGATCTCTGCCTCTGGAGTGCTAGGATTAAAGGTGTGTGCTACCACTGCCTAAACCTATATTTAATATTATGGTTGTTCTGTTCTCTGACCCCAGATAAGTTTATTGGGGTGCATAATATATCAACCACAGACACCTTCTCCCTCAGTGTTTGCGCACCTCTTCCCTTTGTTGGGACAACAAACTGGGTTCATCTCAAGACAAAAGCAGCTTACGGGAAAAGCGTTTATTTCAGCTCACAGTTGAAAGTTCATCATGGCAGGGAAGTCAAGGCCATGGGAACTTGGGGCAGTTTCTTAGCTTACCCACAGTCAGGGAGCAGAGAGCAAGGAACGCGGTGCTCAGCTCACTCCCTTCTCTACACACGAGGATCCCTGCCCAGGGGGTGGTCCTGCCTCTAGCTGAGTCTTTCCACATCAGTTAAGCTAATTGAGGTAATCCCTCACTGACATTCTGAGAGCTAAACTTGATCTAAATAATCCTTCACAGGTATGCCTGGGGGTTTGTCTTCTAGGAGTGTAGATTCTCCAAACAGTACTAACTACTCAATCAGAAACTCAGGACAAAGCTTTTCATTTTAATAGATATAGATTTTAATTGGCTTTGCTTTTTTACTTTGATTGTATCTTGTGGTTTCTAGAGCCTCTAAAGATCTTAACTCTGCCTGGGATCACACTTCTCCCCACTTCTTAACAACAGATTTGGAAAGTAATTACCTAGCTCTGGTGAGAGGGCTCTGCAGGTAAAGTCACTTCTCACCAAGGCTCAGAACCTGGTAGCAGAGAACTGACTCCCACAGGTTGTCCTCTGACCTCCACATGGGCAGCGGGCACGCACATCCTTCCATCCCCACACATGCAGATGTAACAACAACAAAGCTGTGAAAATAATAAAATAAAAGCAAGCATCTCACTTTGGAGTCTGCAGCTCGTTTCTCACGTGATCTGGGGAGGAGTGCTTTCACAGGAACCCTGACTGATTGGGGCTTCTCTAAGGATTTGGAGAAAGTCAAGCCTAGCAGAAGGGATGGTTTGAACAGCCAGTGAAATTTCCACCTCAGAAAACTCACAGAAACACCCATCAAAGATGTTCCTTTCTATTTTTGGGCGTCCATGGCTGGGTTATGAGCTGTTAGCCTAGAGCCCACATGAACTGACCATTTTTCTGCCCACAGATGGGAGCTCAGAATGCTTGAGCTCCGCAGAGCAGATGGAGTCAGAGGACACGCTGAGTGCCTTGGGCTGGAGCCGGGAGGCCAGGCCGAGGCCAAGCTCCAAAGCTGCAGACAGTGCCTTCCCTGCACTGTCCTCTATGGTGGTCATGAAGAACGTGCTGGTCAAGCAGGTGAGGAGGACCAGTGGGGCCAGAGCCTTTGCAGATGAAAGTTTCTGCGCTTCCAGAGTGCGGACATTTCCACTTTGCAGGAAGAGATTGCAGAAACACACTAGAGCCACACTGATGGGGACCTTCCACCCGGGAGAGGATGTCACCTTTCAACTACTGATGCTGTTTGCTTTTATTTGTTTGTTTGTTTTCTGATTTACATTTTTTTCTTTAAGATTTATTTTTTAAATTGTGTGTGTTATGCAAATACTCTACCACGCCTTCCTCTGACCTGAGGACACCTGAGACAGAGAGACCTAAAAACAAAAAGTAGAAGTATGTGCATGAGTCAGGACTTATGTTCTCACTATTTTATCTTTGTATTTCTAGTTTCAAAGGGACCTTGACCTGCTATAGTAATGTATAATGGAACCAAACCAAAAAGTCACTTAAGCGGTGCATTCTAACTCAAGGCAGAGTTTAGGGGAGAACCAAAAGGTTTTTTTTTTTTCTTTTTCAGTTCTATGTATGTTAGGCAAACACACACCATTGCACTACATCACAGCCCTAGGAACCTCTTTTTTAATTTGAATTGATTTGGGAATTTAGGAGTATAAGACACATTTGTAAGCCTGCATGGTAGTACACTCCTGTAATCTCAACCCTGGAGACACCGAGGCAGGAGGATTGCAAGTTTGAGGGCCGCCTGGGATGCATGAGCCGACACTGTGCCAAAGACAGAGTTCAAACACACAAACAGCAGGAAGGACATCTTTGCTGCAGCCGCAGAGGCGGTTTCTAGGCTGGAGCCACAGCTCGGTGACAGGGCAGCTCGGGCTGAGAGCGGCCGTGCCAGTGGGGTCCTCACGTTGACTGTCCTTGTCCACTCTGTGGTTACTATCTAGATAGGAAACGTCAGAGCCTGCAAATATTAGTTAGGTTATAGGATCTGAGACTGAGAACTCATTCATAAAAACTTGGTTAAGTTCAAATAGAGAAGTTTAAGGAGTGGAAAAGTGATTTAAGTCAAACAACATTTAAACGTATACTAATTTACTCTGAAAATAGATAGAGTTCTTGCATTGACAAGGTATATTGAAAATATGGTTTTAGTGTTGACCTTCCCATCTTAGCCAGAGGTTAAAAGAAGAACATGGCTGTGGCATGATACTAGTGTCGTGTCTGAACACTGCCTGGTCACGTCTGCAGAACACACACTGAGGTCAGCAAGGTGGGCCGCTGGTGAATTCTGAACAATCATTTGAACATTTTGTTTGGTAGATCCGTCTCAGCAGGAACATCGGTTCTCCTCTCTGAAAGAGACGGGATGCAGCCCCAGGGAGCTGCCTGCCTGCCTGCTAGGGCTGCCTGCCTGCTAGGAGGCCTCTCCTCCTGGCTGGCCCTCTCTCCTCTTTGCCTTTCTTGTTGCTCTGTGGACGTGTGGACAAGCCATGCGCAGGAGTGAGGAGGCTTTTCCAGCAGAGGACACAGGACGGCTGGCAGGCTGCTGGTCTGGTCAGGCGCTAGGAAGCTCAGTGACAAGCTAGCCTCTTCCTGGGTTCGTTTAATTTTGGGGTTTCTTTGTGTTTTGAGACGGTCTCCAGTAGCCCGGGCTGATCTTGAAATCCTCATGTAGCTGAGGATGGATTTGATCTCTCGATGCACCTGCTTGCACTTCCTGAATGCCAAGATGATAGGCATCTGCCACCATGCCAGGTCTTATGCGATGATGGGATCCAGTAAAGGATTCCAGGCATGCTGGGCAAGCACTCCAGCAGCCGAGTCCAAGCCCAGTCTGAGCTTAGCAGCTCTAGCTTTGGCCAGGAAGTTGTACTCTCTCTGTTTCTGTCGCCTCTGTTGTACCTTGACTGTGCCATTATTTCATCTACCTCCAGTTTCTTCTTCTGGGTGACAGCCTTGATTAGAAACAGATAGCTCAGGGCTGGAGAGGGAGCTCAGTAGTTAGGAGCACTTATTCTTCCGGAGGACCCACGTTTGGTCCCAGCGCCCATATTGGATTGCTCACACCACCCGTAACTCCGTCTGGGGGGGGTCTGACATGGTGCACTCACGTGCACCTGCCTGTCCACAGGCACACACGGAGACAGAATTTAAAACATTTCCTCAAGTTTCTCTTAGGAAAACGTTTTTGTGTTTGCTTTTAGTTTTGTTTTTCTCTTGTTTTATGGTATGATACCAGCTATAAGTGGATTTCAGGCCCCTTCTTCCCAGTTCTCAGCAAGGGCTCCCTGAGCACGCGGGAAGCCTGGCACCGGAAGCAGTTGTAGCTGAGCGCCCGCCCTCTTTGCCCTGGGTGGGAGCGGGGGCTGCCCGCCTCCGTCCTGAACGCAGCTGCTCTTCTCCTTGGTCTGCAGGGCAGCAGTTCATCCCAGCTCCAGTCCTGGACTGTCCGGCCCTCCTTTGAGCTGATCTCAGCACAGCCACAGCTCTTCGTCCTTCATCCTCCGGTGCCGTCTCCTGTCAGCCCGTGCCAGACTGGTGAGAAAAAGTCAGACTCCAGAAACTACTTGCCCATTCTAAACTCTTACACCAAAATAGCCCCCCACCCAGGCAAACGGAGCCTTTCCCTCAGCTCCGAAGAACGAGGAGCAGGTGGGATACCGAAGAAAATCTGCCCCGAGAGACTGGGGCCAGGTCTGTCTTCCAGCGAGCCAGCCAAGCCTGGCCCTGCGCTCTCCAGTCCTTCCGCCCCAGCCCCCGCCAGCTCCAAGCTCACCGAGGACCCGGCTCTGCAGGGAGTGCCCTCCCTGGGGGCTGGCGGGAGTCCACAGACCCTTCAGCCGGTGTCCAGCAGTCACGTGGCTAAAGCCCCCAGTCTGACCTTTGCCTCGCCCGCCAGTCCGGTGTGCGCGTCCGACAGCACCCTGCACGGCTTGGAGAGCAGCTCCCCTCTCAGCCCGCTGACAGCCAGCTACAGCTCGCCGCCGCCGCTCTGGGCCGCCGAGCACCTCTGCCGCAGCCCAGACATCTTTGCGGAGCAGAGGCAGAGCAAGCACAGGCGCTTCCAGAACACCCTAGTGGTCCTCCACAAGTCCGGTCTGCTGGAGATCACCCTCAAAACCAAGGAGCTGATTCGTCAGAACCAAGCAACCCAGGTGGAACTAGACCAGCTGAAGGAGCAAACCCGGATGTTTATAGAGGCCACCAAGAGCAGGGCACCTCAGGCGTGGGCCAAGTTGCAGGCATCACTAACGTCTGGGTCCAGTCATTCAGGCAGTGACCTAGATGCATTGTCTGATCACCCAGACATATAGCACAGAGGCGTTCCTCAGTTATTTGAGTGGTTCTCTCAACTCTTTTGCTATTACTACCTACATTTGGTCTCCACAGCCTGTTTAAGAGCTTTTCTTTCTAAACTCACTCACAAAGCCACGTGCCAGGCCCTGGCTGCCGCCTTAATCTGTGGTTTATGCACAGGTTAAGTGTGTTTGTGTTCCTCGGAGGACCTTCAGTTGGGAGTATCTGTGAGTCCCTTTTCCTTAGCCTGCAGGAAAGATGACTGTGTGGGTCTCTTCCCCCTCACTATCCATGATCCAAGGCCCAGTGATATGGATGGGCGCACACTTGTCAAACCAAGGAGTGGGTGACCTAAAGAGCCTTCTTGGCCCTCCCTCAAGTATTTAGTCACAGCGAAAAAGAAGAGACTGTGTTTGTATTCTACCAGGCATCATGCCAGTTGGGCGAAACCTAAAATGCTTTGGGCACAGGTTGTGCCTGGGTGCAAGCATTTAATCACGTAAGGCTTTGAGTCGTATACTTGAAAGTTAAGGGAGAAAGGGCAGAGCCATCTGACTCACTGATCACACACCAGATCTCACACAAGTGGGCAAATACTTCAGATTTTTAAAGTATAGACTTGGGTTTAGTACCATCTGGAATTGTAGTTGATGAATTGCTTTTTTGATTAAAGGGTCAGAGAAGCCAGCATTTTTTGTCACTAGCTGGAAAGTTTTGTTAATTCATGCTTGAAATAGCACAACCTGTCTTATATCTAAAAAGCCCGAGACAGGACTGCAAGATGAGTGAGTACGTGCTTGCTGCCAAGCCAGATGACCTGAATTCGATCACTGAACCCACACAGTGGAAGGAGAGAACAGACACTGCAGTTGGTCCATCCTGTGTGTGTGCGCGCGCGCGCGCGCGCACACACACACACACACACACGATACATAAATGAATATAAGATTAAAAACAAGCCACCATCAACATTAAAACAATCAAAAGCTTGAGATGGCTTTGGTGGGTCCTCAGAGTCTGGCCTAAGTTTTCACTGCTGTCTCTGGTCTGTACCTCACCCAGCTGATGTAGGAGGGAAGAGACTGTGCTTAGACCTTTTGAATTAAGGAAAACCCTGAGGTTAGAACAAGGCCACGGAGTCAGGAAGGCTCCTTCCCTGTTCACGTCTGAGTTCTCACCCATCCCCTGTGGTGATGGGGAGCCACTGTGGAGGTCTTGTGTCTTATGTTAGATGTGGCAGGAGAGCAGAGGTGTGGTGTCCCTCCCAGGGGCTGGCCTTAGGACGGAGAATGTGAGACACATTCTTTTTAGCTTCCCTGTGCTGGTAACTAAAATCTAAACAGTAAAGACTCAAAGGGTTGTATCCGCTTGTTTACAATCTTCATCCTCCTGAAAAGCTTTGTTTTTCACAAATTAACTTGCTTTCATGACCAGCATCTTCCTGCAGAGAGAATGCTCATGGGCTTTACTAGGTCCAGAGTTAAGGGTCACATCTGTTAGGGAGTTGGTTGTAATTCTAACATAGTTTAAAAATTGTAAGACTCAGGTTGACTCTACTGTGTTCATGAAGACATACGATTTGGATATGACTGGTTGAAAAGATAATCAGCTTGGTAAAAATCTCTCTACTCTCTGGTCAACACAGAATTATTACCTGCTGTTTGCTTCCTGAAAGAGTCCCCCAATGAGAGCCAGTGCCCTGGGCAGACTCAGCTGCCTGCGATACGCTTCCCTGAATCCGTGTGGCAGCGGAGCTATTCCACTCACTCCACTAGGAAGCTTCCCTTTTTGGCACACTGTTTGGCAGGAAAGCTGTAGAGACAGGTGCAGTCAGAGCAGCCTGGGCACCAGCCACAAGTTTTACCGAACGTCAGAAGGCTGGAAGCACTTGCTGAGAACCAAATGTACTCCACTGGAAAAGCCCTCCGTGGAGCTGTAAGCCTCTTGGACTCTTCCTCCTAGATATGGGTTTCCGTTTCCCTTCTTGTCCCCATAAAAGATGATGAAAGCCACCATAGATCTTCGCTGCTGAGTGGCAGGGAGGGTTAGCACTCTCCAGTCACCGCTCCTCCGTGATCTTAGAGCCATGGCTGCAAGTCCCTAGGCTGTTAGCATAGTGTTCTCTTCCTGGTGGAGCTGGAAGCAGATGGACTCCAGCAGAGAAGCTAGATCTTAGAAGGAGCGATCCTTGGAGGTCAGAGGCTAGACCAGCATTTGGAGGAAGCCTGGAGTGGACCGGAAAGATCTCCATTGGTTGCCCAAAGCTGTAAGTAGCAATGGCCTTAGTGGTGCATGCTCTAAGTCCTTCTGAAGCGTTGTGCAGGGCTGTGAGAAGTTAGCTCAGTCCAGCCCATAGGAGACCCTTTGTCAGGTTGGATTGGCAACATCGGAACACCTTTAGAAAGGTTCCTGATTGAATTGGTTATAGAATTGAACGTTTGTAATTTGCTACGCTGTTTTATCGATTATAGTATTGTCTGACTTCTCTAGTGTGATTCCTTCAGCACACACGTTACTCTTGCACATGTACTTAAGTGGTTTTTTTCAGCCACAACCTCTTAGGGTAGAGACTATTTACCAAATGTGAATTCTTTTAAGAAAGTGTGAAGTTATGTAGAAATTGACTGTGAAATGTCAGCGGGGGGAAAAAATAAAAGTCACTTACTTGAAAACTATTTGCTTTGCAACTGCATAAAGATTCTAAGGACTGGGCACGGAGCCCTTGGTACAGTGCTCGCCTAGTGTGTGTAAGGCCCTGGGCTCCACCTAGCTACTCCTTCACAAAAACCCTGAAAGAAATCCAGAATAAGTGTGGATTGCGTGAGGCTTCAAACATTGTTTTGTGTCACCTGGGTTATGGAATTGGATGCTGAGTACTGGAGTCTGTCCAGACTTCGGTGCTATGCACAGGCAGCCTGAGCAGTCTGCCGTGCTTGGAGGGGGAGAGTGAGAGGACCGTCCAGTGCCTGCTCCACCTCACACACCACAGGGCCAGTGGCTACAGCTGTACACTGTGGTGAGGTAAAGCCACGTAATCTGAAGCTCTTTCTACAGCAGAGGGGTCCTCAGCAAGTATGTCAGCCTTCCTCTGTGCTCCCTCCAGGGAGACGTCTTCCCTGCATCTGAGTCCAGCCAAGAACTCTTCCTGCATGTTTGATCCTGGGAGTGTAGCAAGCTTACTCTCATGAAAAGATCTATAGGGTTGGCAGTATGAAGTCCTGTAGATCTATTTCTGACCCACACAGTGATCTGAGTGACTTTGAAATATGGTTGTAAGGCCACTAAAATGAATTAAAAATGGGTAAAGATAACTCAAAAAGGCCCTTCTGAAATAGAGACCACCTTCTCCAGAAGTGGCGTCCAGAAAAGTAAGAGAGCACAGAGAACAGATTCTGTGAGGCATGGAGAGCCCTGTTCCTTGACTTGTGTCTCCTTATCCACCCCACCACACATCTCCTGTGGGAGGAAGCATCCAGGCATCTAGAACCTGCCTGTTTGAGAACATCCTGTTTAAGCCACATCTTGGACGCTTCCACCACAGTTCACAGCCTGGTGCCAAAGACACCAAAGACTGGCTTTTGTTTATCATTTCTGTCTCATTTTCGTTCCATGTCGCTGGAGATTGAACCTAGAGCCTCAGGCATGGCAGGCCACTGCTCTACCACCGGGTGAAAAAGCCCCGTCCCTGCCCAACCCACTGTTCTGGTGACTTTGGTTAGGTCACGTGTAGCCTCTGAGCTGACTGAGAAAGCACTGATTAGCTCTGAGGTTCTTCCCAGCGTTACCTTTTATGGGATCTGTAGCTGGGGGTCAGCAGGACTGCTCAGTGAGGAAAGGTACTTGCTGGAGGCCTGGGTTGACCAGCAAGCCCTGTACGGTAGAAGGAGAGAGCTGGCCCCTGGAAGTTGTTTTCAGACCTCCACATGTACACCATGGCGTGCACACACCTCCATCCCAAATACACACGAATGAATGAATGAAATGCAATTTTAAAAGTTGCTTTTTTAGAAAAGACCTGTAGCTGCATTAGATGAGCCGTAAGTAAAATCAACAGACTAGAAAGGACTCACTTGAGGAGCTTAGAAAATGGATCGCCTGTGCTCCAGTAAGGCGACCTTATGTCAGCGTCCGGTCGGATCTTACCTCTGGAATGTGACTCTGGAGAAGCATGTCGTCAGTCTTCTCATAAGTACCCGATTGCAGCCTGCATATTCACTCATGCCCATGTAAAAACTGCCTTTAACCCCAGCACTCAGGAGGCAGAGGCAAGTGGATCTTTGTGAATTTGGCACCGACCTGGTAAACAGAGTTCTAGGACAGCCAGGGCTACAAGCAAGACCCTGTCTCAACGACAACAAAACACCTGCATTCAGATTTTTTCTTCTTTCTTTCTTTCTTGAGGCAATGTCTTGCTATATAGCCCAGACTGATGTTGTACTTGTGGCCCTCTTGCCTCAGTTTGCCATGTAAGACCTTCATTTATTTATGTGAGTGCTGAATGAAGATTGAACCCGGGGCCTTGCATATTAGACAAGCACTCTGCCACACTGAGCTACTTCCCTAGTCTTCAAAAAAGGAATTGTCTGTGTGTATGTGGTATATGCATGTATGTAACACGTGTGTGCAGATGTGTGCTCAGGTGCCCTCCCCTCTGCCATGCTCTGCCTTATCCCCTTGAGACAGGGCCACTCATTGAACCTGGAGCTCCGTGGTTTTGGGTCAGACGGGTGGCCAACTGGTCTCAGTAACCCAGCATCTAACACCCCTGGTGCCGGGGACAGATGCACGGGACCACACGAGTGCTGGGGATTCGAACTCGGGTCCTCAAGCTTGTGTAGCAAGCTCTCTTCCCCACTGAACCATCTCCCCAGCCTCCATCAGATTCTATTAACTAAAAATAAGGGCATCCGAGGATCAAATGACATCATGTTCTTTGCTGGTCAGTTTTCTGAAAACAGTCCTTTCATCTGAGATGAAAGGTGTGACTTTAAAAAAAAAAATCGTTTTAGAGTGTGTCAGTTGGCTTTTTATTTCCTTTCCGACGTCTCTCCCCACAAGCAAGCAGGGGTGATGTTTCTCCATGTGTTAGCAGGAGCTGTGGGCCGAGTGAACATTTTCACCGTCAGTAGTCAGGGATACACAGAGGCTCTGGTGCTCTGTGAGGTCTGTCCTCCGGTCCCGGCCTTCCTTTTGTCTGCTGGGAAAGAGATGGGGGATGAGAAGTCTGTGTCTCCGTGGCATAGCACAGTCCGAATAGCTGAGAAAGAAGCACCTGTGTGTCCTGGCCCCGGCAGCTTTTACCTCGGGCACTTCAGTTGAGAACAGGATGGGGGCACCCTGAGATCACAGCGTGGAAGGATGTTATCTTAAGTCTTAAAATCGCCGAGTAAGGCAGCCTTCCTGTATGCAGACCCTGCTGTAATGGAATTCAGCCTCAGAGAGGCTGTCACTCCCTTGCGGGTAATTAGAGACACTACTGCCAAAATGTCTAGTTAGAGTTAACCCCAAAAGAGCAAGTGGCAACCCAGGATGGTTATTCTGCCCGGCTTCCTGGAAGGATGCATTCTGTGGGTCCACACGTGACCACTTTGGCTTCTCCTCTAAGAATCCCTCTTCATTCTTAGAACACGTGGCTTCCCTGTATTTCTGAGGGTTGGTTATGTAAGACATTAGAGAATTGCTTGAAAAAAAAAAAAAAAAGTCTGCATGATTCCTGCCCCAAATTTCAGCAGCTGGAGATGAGCAAGAAAGTGAGAAAAGCCCATGGCATACCAAGTGAACACAGCGAGTGGGTGGAAGCTGATAGGAAACGAGGGGGAATAAAAAAAAAAAAAAAAAAAAAAAACAACCAAAAAAAACCGAAAGTGGGATTTTGAGGCTGGCTCTTCTGAGGGCCTCGGTCAGGATGAATGCTTGTGTTCTCTGCAAGGTTTTCAGGAGTGGCTAAGAACCTCAGAGTAAAAATAGATGCTTTTAATTTTCCTATAGAGTTTTTATCTCAAGAACTGCAGTGGCCTTGGAAGAATACTCCTTCCTCCTGATAAAGGCCCTTGTAACAGCAGAACTGTGGCCTCTGTTCTCTGGGAATAGTCCTCAAGCTTTGCCCACTGGGTAAGCCCATGGAAGGGCCTGGCACTCTTCATTTGGGGGTAATAGTAAGAAATCAGAAGCTCTGAAAAATGGAGATCTCCTCTGACCTACTGATGGTAAGCTGCTGCAAGCCGCAGGAAAATGTAATGGAACCCAGCTACTATCACAAAAGCTACTATTTGGAAAGGTTAAGGACTTTTCCAAAGGTCAAGCCATGGCTTAAGAAGTCTTGGTGATATTTTAGCTTTTGTATATATATATATTAGCCGGTTCCTAAGATGATTTTCTTGTGTGCTTCCAAGAACTCCTAACAGTGTATTTATCTAAAATACCTATCAAGCATCCAAGGCCAAATGATCTCCTGAACTAAGAAGTTATGGAAACAACACCTGTCTCCCAGGTCAAGTAGATAGCTTTATTTATTGTGCAATTTTAGGTGAGACCCTTCCTTCCTTCCTTCCTTCCTTCCTTCCTTCCTTCCTTCCTTCCTTCCTTCCTTCCTTCCTTCCTTCCTTTCTGTTTTTGTTTTTCGTTTTGTTTTTTTGAGACAGGGTTTCTCTGTGTAGCTTTGCTCCTTTTCCCTGGAACTCACTCTGTAGCCCAGGCTGGCCTCGAACTCACAGAGATCCGACTGCCTCTGCCTCCCGAGTGCTGGGGTTAAAGGCGTGCGCCACCACCGCCCGGCTGAGCCCCTCCTTTCTTATGTAGCCTTACTAACATTATAGACTCCTAACTTCTTACCTAACCACTTGTAGGAATGTAGACTGAGCACATAACCCCCCTTTTCTTGATATACTAACCGATCATTAGCTCGCAGTGGACCTCCTCCTTTATCACTCCCTTTTTTGGAAGAAAACCTGATAATCACTCCCTGAGGAAAACTTTTGTCTGCCTTTAGGACCCTGCAGAAATTCGAGCCTGGTGACCTTGCTCGGCCAGAGGATTGCTATTGCTTGGGTTTATAACTCAATACCTCAGAGACTTGAGAGAACTAAGAGGGATAAGGAGAAGTATAAGGAGACTTGGAGGAGGATTTGAGGGAGAGGACTTGAGGATGAGATGGAGAAGAGAAAAGAGAATGGAAGAACTAGATGGGTAAGAACTGGAGAGGAACAGACTGAGATGGGGAAGAACTAGATTGAAGGACTAGAAGAGAGTACTAGAGGAACAAGATGGAAGATGAGGAAGAGCCAGATGAGGAAGAACAAGATGAGAGAGAAGGAGATGGGAGAGGAGCTGATACGAGAAAGAACTAGATGGATGAGAACCTAGATGGGGCGGAACAAAGATGAGAGAATTAAGATAGAACTTAGAGGGGACAGCAGATAAATGTAGAGAGAAATCAGGCAAGAAAGGAGCTAGGCATGAAAGCAGAGTAGAAGATATGTAGACAGAGAACTGATACAGAATAATGAAGTATATGGACCAAGAAGTTTCATGTACATAGATTCATTTCTTTTTCATCAAAGATTAAATTTTCAGCTGGTTGTAGATTCTTCCCGGACCCTGGGAGGGGACTATTGAGGGGCTGGACCCCCACAGTACTCGATAGTAAGCCATGTCTTCACAGAGAGCTATATTAAAG